AAATTCATTCAAATGCCGTCTAACCTCATGCTTCGACAACGACACAGACAATTGTCCTGACTGCCCCCTGCCTTCCCACACAAAGTGCCACCTCTTCGACTGCCCGGCCAACCTTACGGACCTCACGCCTGGGGACCTATGGCTTCGCCCAGACAAAGTCGCCGACTTCCTTCATCTTTCTTAAAAATTTTATACCTTCGTCTTTATTCTTTATTCCTTCATCTTTATCCCTTCATCTTTCTTAAAAATTTTATACCATGTATTGCTGGCAAACTAGGTTCAGGGAGTAAGCTAGTACAACAACAAGTGACGAGTTGTGCGTAAGATGGCATGTGATTAGTCACTTGGACTGCATCCACTTCGATGGTTTCTCGCCCACTCCATGTGTAACAAAGGCAAGGCATGTTCTGGTCGTCCACTTGCATAAACCAGACGTCTGCAACTAACATCTTCTGTTGATGAAAGTTTCTATGAGGGCAAGGTCATACTCATCCAACCGAGGTAGTTTTTGTCCTTTCAGTATTCAACAATGATACTTTCGATTATCTCATTAGCACGCCAAGAACTTAAAACCTTACTAGATACGAGAGGCGAAGTGTTCTAGTGAAGTCCCCAAAAAGAAAATAACCGGTTATTAAATGGAACCGTACGTACTTCGCGAAGTCCAACTGAATCCCCATCGTTTAAGCCCTTGTAAAACTTTTGGCAAACAAAGTCATGCCCAAAAAATCATAGTTGCAGAAGAAGAGGGGGAAAAACGTCTCGCAATGCATAGAAAGTAAGCAGTACTGAACCCACAGGGAAAGCAACCTTATCAGCGTCAAATTTACGGAGAGTTCGGAAAAACCAGTTCCTGAAAATTAACTGCTTCAAATTTAAAGTTGCTAAAATTCCCGCTGAAAAATTCTAAAGATGAATTGGCGAGCATGCGTTTGCTTTCGATAAATTGTCTTCGGGCCTATTGTTAAATGTGCGGGCTGATAGAAAATTTGTGCGGTTGTCAGGGTCATCGCGTCGATGCCGGAGGTTGTGTTTCGGAGTGCTTTATGAGGCTCTCTCCAGCTGCTCAGCGTCTGTTGGCTACAGGGGCTGCAATCAGGTCACGCAAACCGGTCCTGTGCAGGCAAAAGAACTTCGTAAAGGCGCCGCAGTTACCATGACCGAAAGTCACCAATGCAACCTGTACAACTGGACGGAGTAGCTATGGGCTGGCGCCTGGGCCCGCTTCTAGCGAATATATGCATGGGCAAACTGGAAGCCTTGCAAATTTGTCACCAGATAAATAATCTGACGTACTACAGACATTAAGTGGATGATATATTCACGGTTGCATGTGAACAAACTAAAATTTTCACATTTACTGCATAGCTTAAATCAGGCACACTAGTCCATGAAATTTATACCTGAAGAAGAACAATCCGGATTGCTCCTACTTCTTGAGGTACTTTTGAGAAAAGGATCTGACGGAAGTATTGAATGAA